GGGGAGTCAGAGGGTTCGACCCGCGGGTTTGCATGGTCCTACGTGATTGGGGTGTTCGTTCAAGTGGTGAGCGGTTTCCCGCTCTCCACATTGATTCGAGCATCCCAACTACGCAGCCAATCACTTCGCGGAGGAAGACGGGGTAAGGATAGAGCGGGGCGTAGGGGAAGACGAAGAGTCCTACATGGGGGAAACGCGCGCCGCAAGAAAGGAAGATGGCGCGGGGACGCAAAGCAAGAAACGGGGGTGCGAGACGCGCGAAGAAGTCGGAGCTTAGGCCCGCGCGCGCAAAAATTCAAAAAGTCCCAACCAAAATCGTTTCTTGGTTTTCATACCGCGGCCGCTGTTCGCCCGCGCGAGAGTTATTAACCAACAAAAATGAAAAAGCCGTTTTAAAAAGAAAAAAAAGCAAAAAGAAAGAAAAAACCCTTTTTGTTCGCATCCGTATTTCGGGGCTTCCGAGGGATTTTTCCTCAGGGATACGGCAAGCCGCGCGGTACGGGTCTGAGCTTATCACATCTGTGATACGCAGGGGGTTCCGAAAAATTAGCAGTCTCCCGGCTACTGATGTCATCATACTTTGGATGCTCGGGCGGCCTCTTCATCGTCAGCTGGCCCGAGCATCTCCTATCCTACTTCGATGCATTTCGCATCATCAGTCATCTCCCTCTTATTATACATCCGATCGGGCGGCCCCTTCATCGTCAGCTGGCCCGATCGGTTAGTCGTCCACTGAAAATTGTTTTTTTTTTTTTTATACACAGCGCGTCTCGACGTGCGAACTTTGGGCATAGGAGAAGAAGACGATGAAGAGAAGGAGAAGGAGAGAAGAGGGGAGAGGTAGACGAGGGTGATCAAAGCAAGTGATCGATGTCAGGATTAAGAGGGGGCAGAATAGGTGGAAGGAAAGCGGCCATTGCCGCGGGAGTCGTCGGCGCGTCCTCCTCATGGAAGCGGTGCTGGACGAACGAGGGATAGAGAAAGGCCCCTGGCACATGAGACAGGACACGTGGCGCCAGATCCGCCACCGCTCGCACCACCCGCTTGCGCACCGACCGGGGTCCGGGACCCGTCATCACCAGATGAGTCTCAGTGTAGGGCCGCCGCTCCCGCTTCTGCGCCGCGAAGACGAGGAAGTGGTACATCACATTGGGACGCTGCCCGGTCTCATAGATGAGCGTCCCCGCCAGTTGCGCTGCAATACACCCTTGAAAAGAGGGTGTCAGATATGGCTCCCATGCCGAATCAGGGCGCGGCGCCCCCGCAATGGCCTCGAGCCTAATGGTGGTGGGCTCCACCATGAAATCCACCTTGGTCGGATGGACCGTCCGGCTCGGAGGAACTACTAATGTCAATGACCGGGGCACTCCGGGGTGGCTGACGGAAGCGGAAAGGTCCCACGAGGACGGGGGTTCTGGATACAGGATCCGGTAATCCCATTCGGCTTCCTCCTCCGGCTGCTGCGGCTGATGGCCTGGCTCCATTGAGATTGAGATCGGGCACACGCGGGAAGGGCGGTGATGGCACGACAGTCTCCTTAACCAGCGTCGCTGCACTCCCAGGCACCAGGTCAAGATTCTGCGCACGCACAGGCTGAACCACCTCCTCGCCGCCACCGATTCTGCTGCCTTGCGCTCCTGGCGACGGGTGGCGTCTCTTCCTCTTCGGCGTCTTCTTGGGGGCCTTTGGCGGTGCCGGTCTGGGATACGACGAGGGAGGTCGCAACGGCTTTTCCTCCGGGAAGTCCTCCAACCTCTCCTCGCGCTGCGCAATGTAATCAGGGATGAGGACCGCGTGGTACGTTCTCCGCGGGGCAGTCGCCGTCCGCAATCGTGGTTGGATCTCCTCTTCCTCGCTCGCGATCACTTGCGCAATGGATAGGAGCTCAACTCAACAATCCCGGATCGGTCGTCTGGAGCTGGGCGAATGGGTACAACGCCACCGTCCCCTCCTTCTACGCTGGCTTGGGCCGCGTGATGACGTAATAGACGATGAAGTGCTCCCCGATACAGTGGTCTTCGTGATCCACAAAGAATCGGAACATCCCCAACGCCACCGACTTGTATAGCGCACGGTGCAACTCCCACGCGTCTTCGTCCGCGAAGGGCAGCGGCTCCACGTCAGTCAGCTCCACCAAATACTTCGAGAACTCATGCATAGGATAAGGGCCCTCCGTGAGTTGATAGGGGAGAGTGGTGTAAGAGAAGGAGGGAGGCATTTAGTACGGGGCAGGGGAAATAGCTTGGATGTTGAGAGGGGCGCCGGGAGGAAGAAGCGCGGGGAGCTGTGGCACCAACGCAATTGGTCCGTCCTCTGCCCTGCGCAGTAGCGCTTCGTGGGCTGTGAATCGATGCCCTCCCCGTCCTTGCACTCTGGCCACTGATCTGGCCGCCTGCACCGCGTATTCGCGCACAAAGCTTCGCGCCAGCTCCCGACTCGGCTGCGGCAGGATCGTCAAATCTCCGATGAAGGTGGCGACGCTATGCACGAAGTTAGGTGCCACCTGGAGCGCGCGGAACTCGATGAACACTCGAGTCGTCTCCCGCCCAGGCAACTGCGTCACGTCCACGTACACCCCCGCATACGTCAGCCGATCACAAAGTAACGAGTACGCCGCCAGATCAGCAGCCCCGGGCGCTGGCACGTTCACCTGCTGAATGTCGTATCGCAACTGCCTCTCCTCATTGAACTGATGCCGCAACAAGCGATCTGCAAGCGGTGTCTGAAAATGCTCGAGGGGCTCATGCTCCGGCTGGCGATGGTTCATCCTGCTCCCTGAAACTCTCAGCACCAAGGGACGAGGCAGATCGGGAAGACGAAGAAGGAGAGGAGGAGAGAGAGGATGAAGGCTCGGACGGGGCAAAGCCGATTCGCGGCCCGGAGATGGCCGAAACAGCCGGAGAGCCGCTGCGTGTCGCGTAAGCGACCTGGCCTGCGTGCTATGCCAGGGGACCAGCTTCACGAAGTGCTGTCCTTGTGCGCCAACTTCCGTCACTTCGTAAATGCAGGTATAGCGTGGGTGGATCTTGGAGGAGCGCGCAGATTTCCGTACCTGCACCAAGTCCCCGATTTAATAACGGGGCATTGGTCCCGGTGTCGCGTGTCGGTTCTCATAGTCCCGGATCTGCCGTTGATGCGTCAGATCTACGTCCCTTTGTCGTCTTCGGGCTAATGTGGGATAGGTCCGGGCCATCAGATCCAGGTAAAGTTGGGCCTTGTCCTTGTGCTGGGCCCAGGTCACTCTAACTTCCGTACCCACTAGAGGTGACAACTGCACTCTGGGGACGCTATTGGTTCTCAGTTGGAATGGGGACACCCCGGTGCTCCCATGGGGAGTAGCCCGATAGACAGCCAAAATGTGGTCGACTATGACAGGCCAGGGCCTGGTATCACCTGCCGTGATATTCCGTCTAAGTGCAGTCTTGATCATTCAGTTGGCATTCTCGACGAGCCCGTTGGCTTGAGGCCAGTGCCCTGGGGAGTATGAAATTCTGACGTCTGCCCTTACAAGATTTCGCTCTACTTCCCCCTGGAACTTGGATCCATTGTCCATATGTATCTCTTCTACGTCCAGGTGCATGCACAAAAAGCGATTAATGTACCAGGCTACTTCCTGCGAGTTCCGGCTGGTCATTGGATACGCTTCGATCCATTTCAAAAAATGATCTACGGCTACAAGGAGGACATTGAGTTCTCCTTGATCAACAGGGCCTCTCGGCACGTTGATGTCCGTCGTATCGATACTGACCCGTTGGAAGGGGCGCTCTACCCAGGTGGGCACTATTGTACGGGGCATCTGTATCGGCGCCTTATCGGCCGCGCAGGCCGGGCAAGTCGGGACGATGTATTTCACATCTTCGCGGATTCCCGACCAGTACCATCCGTTTTTCTCTACTGCTTTTTCCGTGTATTTGACTGCAAAGTGGACCGCATCCTCCTCGTGGGCGGCTCGTGTCCAATCGAACCTGGCTTGCAGCTGCTGGAGGCGCGTCAGACCATCGGCGTTCCCGTGTTGCCTGGTGGCGCAGTGGCGGATGTCGAAGTCGTAGTCCTGCAATCTCACCGCCCACCTTCCCAGGGTACCCGTGTAGTCCGTGTTATTCCACAAAGATAGCAATGGCTGATGATCCGTTACAAGCACGAACTTCTGGCCGTACAGGTACGGTCGAAAGTGTTGAACCCCCCACACCACCGCCAAACACTCACCCTTGCACACCTCGTAATTTGACTGCGCCTGACTTAGCGTTTTCGATGCATACTCAATGACGTGCTCCCTTCCATCTGTTCCTTGCTGAGTCAGCACCGCCAATATCACCTGCGACTGCCAGTCGGTATGCAGCGCAAACTGTCTTGTTGGGTCGGGACGCGCCAACACGGGTGCCGATGTCAGAGCCTCCTTGAGTGCCCGAAAAGCCGCCTCGCATTCCGGCGTCCAGATCAGCTGCTCCTCCTTCTTCAGCAGGTTAGCCAGCGGCTTGGAGAGGGAGGCAAAGCTCCGAATGAAGCATCGATAATAAGAGGCCAGCCCTAGGAAGGCTCGAACCTGAGTGAGCGTGACCGGGGCCGGGGCTTCTCGAACCGCTGCTACCTTCCTGGGATCCGGTTTCAGTCCGTCGACCGTGACGATGTAGCCCAAAAAGGAAATTTCGGACAGAAAGAACTCGCTTTTCTCCAGAGCCACTTTGAACCCCGCATCTTTCAACGCATGCAATACCCATTCGACATGTTCCACATGGTACTCATAGGTTTTGGAAAAAAACAAAATGTCATCCATGTACACGATCACACAAAAATTTATCAACGGCTGTGTCAAACGGGTTTTGTTAACGAACTTGGCGAAGGCCATATTCATGGCCCGCTGGAATGTTGCGGGGGCGTTGCAAATTCCCATGGGACACCGGATTCACTGCCACGTGCCCTCGAAGAGGACAAAAGCGATTTTGGGGCGGTCTTCCGGTCGGACTGCGACGTGGTGAAAACCGTGTCGGATATCGAACTTTGAAAAGACCTGAGCGGACCCGATAGCATCTAGTAGATCGTCAATCCGCAGCAGCGGATATACATCTTTGGTAGTAATAGCATTTAATTTGCGGTAGTCGATACACATTCGGACTGAACCGTTTCGTTTCGGCATGAGGACCACGGGAAACGACCACGGTCCAAGCAATGGTTCAATCCACCCCAACCGCTCGAACTCCCGTACCCTTTCCAGGGCCAGTTGTCTTTCCTTTAGGGAATAACGGTACGGTCGGCAATGTATTGGCGCGCGATCACCGGTATCAATTGCGTGTTGGATCAGGTGGGTAAGTCCTATATCGTGGTCCTGGATGCTGACGGCCTCTGGGTAGGCCCGTATAACTGCCAAAAGAAGGTGCTTATAGTCGTCAGGCACATGGGCCGGCAGCCGGACATCCACGTTTCCCTCAGGGAGGGAGATCGTCGACGTAACCGTGGGGACCGCCGCGTTGGCTTCGGGTGAGGCACCGAACAGCGAATTGTCGGTTTTTGCCGAAAGGACTGCCGCGTTGGCTTCGGGTGAGGCACCGAACAGCGAATTGTCGGTTTTTGCCGAAAGCACAATCGCGATGAGTTGACTGTCTGCTGGGCTTATCGGTTCATTTTCCATGTCACTGTCGTTCTCGAGCTCGGTTTCAGCCGAGGGTTCTACTGAAAAGGCCTGTATCAGTTCCTTCGGACTCCATCGATATTCCCTCGTCCGGGATTGAAATGACACCACTTCCTTCAAGAGCAGGGCGGCTTTTGCGTTTGTAAGCAGGGGCCTTGGAGACCGAAAAGTTAAATCGAACAACCCCCTGAGCTCCGTAAACCTTTCGGGTAGGGGGTCAGTCCTAAGGTATAAGGACGAAGGGGGTTCCGAAAGGTCGGTTATTCGTGACACCCTCAGCAGGGGTTCTCCCTTCACCACGGAGGAGAACGCACGCGACCAATCAGACTCGCTCCGAATTATTTCTAGGGGTTCTCGTCGCTAGGAATGGCACCACCGATCCTGCACCCGGATCGGATATCGGTCAACAGAAAAATTCCCGCGAAAAATGAAAGTTAAAAAAAGATTCCATAAAAAAAAAAATCCTTAATATTTATAAATTATAATTCCAATGTTCGTCCAATTTTAAAATTTCCAAATTTATTTGATAAGTTCCCGTCTAAAAATGAGTTTTCCCTTCCGACTACATCTATTTGTTCAAGATGGAATGAAAGTCTGGATGAGTTTATGAAATATTTTAATTAAATTTTCATTCTACTACAACAAATATCTTCTACGTTAGATTGGATTAACCTATTTATGACTGAAAATCCTTACTTAGAATGACAGTCAAATTAGGATATTTCATGAACTCATCCAGACTTTCATTCCATCTTTAACATGCCATCCAAATAAGAAGGGATACCCTATTCTTGGAATGAAAGTTTATAAGTAAGATGAAAAAAATTAAAATTGGAATGACATTTTTTAAGATGGAATGAAAATTTAACATTTAGATTGTAATTTTACTATAGAATGATTATGTAATTCTAGGAATTTTTTCCGTTGGTCGGGTATATCAGTCTCGTCAGTTTCCGACAAAGTTTAATTTTCGCCTGGTGACAGGCGTCGGACCATGTTGATTTGATGGGCTTTCGTGGTAATTCGAGGCGCCGGCTGGGTGCGCATACGCACCGGCAATCTCATCGGTATCGTTTGTGGTTTGGGGTGGGCCGATGTGAGCACCACCTTACAGCTGTCAAAGTGCATTCGCGCTCCGACCGCCGCCTGCCACGGAATGCTTAGCAGAACATCATGCGCCTATACATTCAATACAATTGCGTCGCACAAACAATGCACCCGCCCCACCCGTATAGGCACGTTCGTTATCCGCCCTTTACAATGAATATTGTCCTCCGTAGCGGATATATACAGTTCATCCGGCCGGAGGGGCTGAACCTGTCCTTCCCTTCCCAATCGTTTCGTCAATCTCCAAGAAATGGCTACCGCTGACGATCCCCAGTCTAGGATGGCGGCCGAGGGGTTTCCCCAGACCTCGCAGTCACACTCAACGCTTTTCCAGGTTATAGGATAGGCTCAGAGGAACACCTCAGGCTTTTTCGAGGCAGGATCTACGGTCTGGATCATTCCTACCCGGTTGGCTTTGTGTACTTTTGAGGTCGAGGGCTGTGACTCTTCGTTTGTGGGTAGGTCTCGTAGGACCGACTTTTTGCCCTTTCGACTTTCCTCGAATCGGCGCCTATTTTTGAGACATCGTTCGATCAACTTTTCGTTAGCCGCCTCAGAAATGGTCAGCAGATAGGGAATAGGGACGGGGATCCGTAGATCCAGAGCCTCCAACGCATCCAACACGTCGATGTGACCGTCTTTGTATTCGGGGCCGAGGGACGTGAGATCTTTGAACCCCGGCCACCAAGGCCCGAGGTCGCTTTCCTTGGTAATCATTTGGACGTGATGTATCACTCCAATGGTCCCCGGTTCGAACATCGCCGCAGCCATATACTTATCGGGTTCTATCTCTACGGCCGCAGGGGTCACCATTTTCGTTGTTCCAGTATCCATCACCGTGGCTACCCTCCCTCGTCGTGCAGCGGTTGGAGCAGCCAACGGGATTTGGGAAGTTTCGGTCGGCCCACCCTGAGTTTGAGGTTTCGGACAATCTTTCGCAAGGTGGCCCGGTTGATTGCAGTTGTACCACCGTAACGGCTGGGCGGCTCCCGCTGCGGCTGGTCGGGTCACAGGGGTACCGGCGGCCATGGCAGTTTGCTGTCGTTGCGCAACTGCCACCCGTTGCCGCTGCAAGTTTTAAACGAATTCCGTCAGCGGGGCCATTACCGTGACCAGCTGAGCCGCGACTTCTTTCATTGATATTTCGTCCTCGTCCCGGCCTCCTTGAGCTTGACCAGAGCATCGGGAGGTCGACGCGGAAGACGAAACTTTCCGATCCGAATTTTTCTTCGCCGGCCTTAACCCGAAGCGATCCTCGAACATTCACGCCGAAGCGGAGTAGCTATGGCGTCGGACACCCGAAGGGTCGTCCTCGTCGGACTCCGAATCTAGACCTACATCGTAATTTCCCTTCCCGTACTTAATGGCATACTGAATGAGTTCAGTCAGGGTGTGTTCTATCGGGTTGCATTTCTTGCGGATCTTCTTCCGCAAGCGAGAATCGGACAGTCCCCTAACGAAATCAATCCGCACCATCTTTTTATCGACCCCGGAGCGTTCGGCTAAGTACGTAAAACGCTCTGCATATCTGGCCATAGTTTCCCGAGGCTGTTGGGTATATTCTTTTATCAGGCGAAGGCACTGCCCGGGTGCGATGTGATCGAAACGCTCGAGAAACTTTCGTTGGAAGGTTAGCCAATTAGTGTAGGGGTTCTGCCCATACCACTCAAGAGCGGTTCCGGCTAACCTCCCCGGGATTTGTTCTCGGAGCAACTGGTCCGACCAGCCCTGGGCTTTCAAGGCGGCTAGCCAGGTGCGAGGGTCGATATCATCTTCGGAAAAATGGGAACTTTGGAGGGAGGAGGCACAAAATACAGGGCATGATTGACCATCACCGCATGGTTATCGCCGTCGTTTCCACCCCCTATTCCGGGTTCCACCATCGCGGGAGGCGGATCTCGCGCCCGACCTCTCGCTCAGTTCTGATTGCTATTCGTGGGCCGCCGGCGACGGGGAGCCAACCTACTAAAAAACGGGAGAGAAAGAAAAATTCAGAAGAAAGATAAAAAAGGGAAAAGAAAAAAAAAAAACCGCTTTAAACAGGGTAATCGTCGTAGGAAAACCTCGGAGTCAAAACGAATCAGCTCTTATACCAACCTCACGCCCCCTCGCGGCTTTCCGTTCCGGGTCGCCGATCAGAGTTATAGGAGGGGCGTGGCCGAGGATTTTTGGTCGTGGGGGTTGAGTGTCCCGGTCGGAACGGGAGGCTCTCGTTTCGAGCCAGAGGTTATCCCGGGGAGGTTGGGTCAGCCCAGGGTAACGAAAACCGAATAGTTCCGCAAAGACGAACTGCCGCAATGAATCAAAACGAAGAAGGGCAGCAGAGGGAGGAGGCCACGATGGCTAAGGATCGAAGACGGGTTTTCGTTGTATAGGTGGTTGGTTCGAGGCCTTCAAGCCTCGGCGTCGGACTCACAAAGTCCGCACGGAAGTTCCCGAGATGGTGAAGCGGCGGGAGAACTTGCCGATACCCGAATTCGAAATTGTGCAGGCAGCGCCCCCGCATTACGGGAGAGCTCAGGGAAGCGTGTCGCTCCCTCGTAACCCAGGACCAGTCGTCGCCAAGAACACGAGTCCCCCTGGCGACACCAGCGACAATCAAACTGCGGCCGCCACGCGGCGTGAGCGGCCGACCAGGGCAACACAGTCAGATCCGTATAGGGCAATATTAGAGTCGGGGAATCGAAACGATCAATTAAGACGAACCCATCTAATATTCAATGCCCGGGGCGGTTCTCGCCAACAGACTTGCTCCGTTCGACTCAAAGCGCGTCGTACATCCGCATCGCAGTAGACGCCGTCGTCATCTGCGATGGGGAAGGCCGGTAGCGAGATGGGACGATCGGAGGTAGGCGATAAACACGGGCCAGACCTCGCGCTCCCGGTCATCCATACCAACACCGTCTCCATGCAACACTCAACGCAACCCTTCTCTCTCGAGGTTAGTGTGTCGGCAAAAGATGATGAAATCTGAGTTCTCTTCCCCGTCCCGGGGGCGTCGACCGCGCGCGCGGACGCCGACGGTTGACGTCACCGGTGCGGGGACGAGAAGTTCAAAAGCGATGACTATCAGTTCAAAAAGAAGGGCGAGAGAGAGGGAGAGAGAGAGAGGAAGTTTACACCGAGACAGCGCGTGCACGCAGAAA